AATTCCTTGTCTCATGTTTCTATTGTTTATTGATCTCTGAAGAACCCTAATGCCTAATGTCTTTAATTCATAAGTTAAATCGTCTATTTTAATTGCATTTTTATTTACAACTCTGAAAACCAAACAAAATAATCTTTTAGTTTTAGCTAAGAACGAGTCTCGGAAATCCTTAGAGTATCTTTGGTCCTTGTGGATCGACCTCGAATATACTACCTAACGGTTAGATATATCGAGTAATTACTCGAGCAATCCGATAATTAAAAGACACTTCACTTAATAACATTTTCTACTTCTACTCTCGGATAAATCTATGGGAAAAGATTGTCTCTTCTTGACGAGATACACTTTTCAAATCACAGTTCACTCTCTATGGAAAGATAGAAATAGGAGAAGACATGGGGAAGTTCCAACTTCATCATCTCAAATGATTCGGGAAATAGACAAGCAAATCCGGAACAGAATCTCTTCCATACGAGACCTTGGGGATCAAAGATACGAAGGTTGTATGGCGAAGATAAAGAAAAAGCTCTCATCACTTTTTTGAATTTTATTTTGATTAATGTACTCAAAAACTCTTAGACAACTGCAGATGTAAAAAGTTTTTTCGAGTAAATTTTACATTTTATTCAAAAAACATAAATAAATAAATAACATTTTCTACTTCTCAACTAATATAAAAATTTTAAATGTATTTTTTTTGTGCACCAACTTTTTAATTCAAACTAGAAAGATACATGAGGATTGTGCATATTCGGACAAACCCGAATAGCAAGCTTGGAAAATAAAGACCATAAGCATACATAAATAAAAGATAGAGACACAAACTTGTCGAAACTTGAATAGAGCACCAAGAGAAATGTCGAAACAAACTAACACGAGCAAGCCCAAGAGAGAAAATACAGTCATAATCATCAACTGGCAAGTAGATAGTCACCATACTTTGTGACGTTAAGACGAGGTTCGAACCAACATATGTGGTTCTAGGCTGGAAGCAACTTGGATTTGCCTCTCCCGCATACAGGGAGAAGCCGGATAAATATCCGGTGAGCAAAATTTGCCGGAATTGGGTGGAATCCGAACCAATAGAGGTGGTTCTAGATTGGACGCAAACTGGCCCTGCCTCAGACGAAAGCATAAAAAAACCATACCGGAGAAGTATCCGGTGGAGGAGAGGTATGAGAAATAAACAGTATTGCAGTATACGTAGGAGAAATAAACAGTATTGACGCAAAATGGCCCTGCCTCTGTCTTTTAACAGTATTGCAACATTTAGAATATTAGTGATGTTAGATTTATATAAGAAACAAGATTCCAAAGAGTGAAATAAGATTAAAAGTTATTGACAGTATTGCAACGTTTCTGACGAATGACGCCTAAGAATGATGCTAAACTATTTTCTTATATTGCTGAAAGCTATTGTTTCTTCCTTAAACTAACTTTATTTGTTTTGCTGTGAGGAATTTGATAAATAAGATAGACAAGTATTTATAAGAAAACAATACCCAAATTTTACATTAGAATGTCGGGAAAATCCCATAAAAACCTGCAAGGTTGCAACCATTTACACTTTAAACCTTAAAGGTTTTGAACTCTCATAATAAACCATTAAAGTGACAATTTTGTTATTTAAAACCTTCAAAGTGAAATTTGTGTTCGCGGATCCACATAAATTCAGGAAATGATTGATTTCATCAACAAAAATATTTGTTTTTTGTTATAAATAATGACGCAGCTTCAATAAGTAATTTTCTTTTAATAAAAAAACATAGTGAAAATTTCTATTTATCATAAATAATATATTTTAAAATTACGGAAAATTAAAAATTCAGTGTATTCAATCTCTTCTTCGTGTATTCAATCCTTTAGAAATTTCACGCCAAGAACCTTGTTTTATAATTTAGCAGTTTGATCTATAATGCAAGGCATGAAATATGCAAGCTTTCACTTAATTACCCATAACCAAAATGTTTTTTTTTTTGAATTTTAAAATTATTGATTCAGAATACCAATTTAATTAGGTTACCAAAAATGATATACTAGAATAAAGTTAATCACAAGAAATATCTTTGCAAGAAATCTTTGTCACATAATCAATACTTTACTTAGCGATATATCATTATTAGTTTGACAACGTATGCTAAATGAAATTCCTTATACAATATTGATCTAATTAAGTTATACCAAAAACAACATATGCATATTATTATTATAAAAGTTAAACAATATGGGAAAAATTAGATATTTGCAGACGAAACAATTGAAATCTTTACAGATAGCCATATAAGTTATATATTAGAGTTCGTAATTGATTATGATTGTTTGAATGGGAGTTCTCTAGTGTCATGATTAGGACTTTGGATCAATGTCTCAAATGTCCCTTTTGATCAAAAACTGATATAGATGTTAGTCTTCTATTAATTTTTTAAGGGCGAAAAATAGTTAAATGACCTTTTAATCTTCAAAATTCTAGGAATTACACACCCAGTCACTAGAAGAAACCCACCCAAATTGATTAAGTGGGTATGTAATCGGATCATCCATTCATTAGTCCATCAAACACTTTTTTTACATTTTATTTCGATTACCCTTTTCTTATTTCTCCTTCTATCGAGCAACTACTTTTCTTATAATACATAAAATAAAATATTAAAAAATCAATTTTTTCTGCATATACTGTGATTCGAAATTTTAAAAACGGATATATATTATCCAATTGACGAAAAATGTGTGTTCAACGTTCCACATCGACTAAAATATTTTGACAATGATTCAGAATCATATCATAAATAAGAGCAACATTAATAAAATAAAGAGGATTTTTGGCGGGATGGGTTTGGCGGGACATGTTTTTGAATCAATAATAATAAAAAATTAAAATATCATTAATCCGCCGCTTCAATATGGAATAAATCTGTAATTTGTTTTTAATACCCCCAATATTAGACATATCAAATCAGTCTCATCTAGAAAAGATTTTATAAAACCAAAAATTGTCTCGTGGTATAATGTTACTTAATAAAATTGTAAACTATAAAATATAAATGTCTTAGAGAATGATACAATTTACAAACTTTTATATATAATAAATAATCGTTGAATTTTTAAAATTACTACTTTTAGAAAATAATTAAATCACGGGACATGTTAAGAAATTACAGGACGTGTTATATTTCGGAACAGGGTTATATGGTGGACGAGATTGAATCAATATTTATAAAATTTTAAAATAGGATTAACATGCCGCTTTAATACAGATTAAATCCCTAGTTTATTAAAATATAAATGTCTTAGAGAATGATACAATTTGTAAAATTTTATATATAATAAATAATCATTAAGTTTTAAAATCACTACTTTTAAGATACAAATTACGGGACGGGTTATATTTCGGAACGGATTAATATGGCGGGTTTGAATCAATATTTATAAAATTTTAAAATATCATTAACTTGCCGTTTTAATACGGGTTAAATACTCAATTTATTAACAATTGTCCCGTAGACTCTTGGTATACCGTTACTTAATAACAATTGTAAACTATAAAATATAAATATTTTATAAGGAGATACAATTTGTAAAATTTTGTATATACTAACTTTAAAAAATAAATCATCCTGCGATGTACCGCGGATTAAAATCTAGTTAGTAATATTTATACTTACATCAGAAAATCTTCGAATTTCTTTGGTATTTTGGTTATTTTTGTGTATTTTCGGTTACTTTTGGATATATTAAAATAAAAATACTAGTGTTGTTTTGGGAATTTTTAAAAAAATTTGATAGATTTTTATACAAAATTTTGAATTTTGAATATATGAATAAACTCGAACCCGAAACCCGTACTGAGTCCGACCAAAAATCTTAATATACCCGAAGAGGTTCTAAACTTCTAGACCCAAAAAAACCCAAACCTGAAAATCCCGACCTGAATACTCGAACGCCCATGTCTATATGCGGTTATTTCGCTCTTTCCTGATTGTATGGACCATGCATTGAAGCCCATACCTTAAAAGAAGCAGACGCTGAGGTTCAAGAGTGGAGGATGAGATGACGTTTTTGAGCTGGTCCCAACACAACGTGTAGTTGCTTTCCATAAACATTTTGATACCTTTGCCCAGATTTGACTTGAATAATGACATTGGAAGAAGAGACGGTCCCTTGTCTCTATAGGCTCGTGATAGAAAGAACAAGAAGAGTCGATCTGTTGGTTCCAAGTTAACATTAGGTCCCCCGTAGAAAGCTTATTATTGTGTGCAAAAACCACATAGTAGTATCTTATTCCTTAATCTACCAAAAACAAAACTCTACATTATTTACTGTCTTAATACAATTCATGCATGTGAAATGAAGGAAAAACTATTCACTAAAAATCTGAATACTCGTGATGCCGTTACGCCCCGATCTGTGATAACTTTTTATATCTTTTTTGCCTCTACCCTTGTTCATGAATTCCCCCAATCATGATATATAGTTGAAGTATACATCGACACAATACCTAATTTTGTGTATGATTTCGACTTAGTAGTTTTACTGGAATATAAATTGTCTGACTTCCCTAGTTTTTTTTATCATTTGCAATAAAATTGTTTTTTAATTTTTTATGGTGAGTGGTGATACAATTGTAGTGATAGATTAAAAAAAATTAGTTATTAAAAATATAACCATATTTTACAGCAATTTTTGTTTATGTCTCCGAAATATATGGTTTTATAAGTACTAGAATAGGTAGAATAAAATCTTTAATTTATTCAATAACTATATATATACATAGCGTTACAAAATATCATAAAAGAAATACTACACTCAAATCTTTAGAATGTAGCTGTGGTAAGTAGATTGTATGAGTAAGAAAGAAAGCTCAATATCACGACAACAAGGGGATTTTATTTTATTTATGGACTATGGAATAGAAGTATAGAATACAAACGGATGCAACAACAAATAAGAGAAAGAAAAAAAAACAAGACACCAAGACACCGGTAACATTTTCTACCCCTTTTTATTACATATGTTTTGATTATTGATTCAATTTGAGAGACTGTTTCTGGACTTAAACACCGATAACATTTTCTACCCCTTTTTATTACATATGTTTTGATTATTGATTCAATTTGAGAGACTGTTTCCGGACTTAAAAGTTTTTGACCTCCTCATTTGAATATATGATTATCTTCTTCACCATGTTGCAGAATTCACTATATGAAAAGAACACCAAAAATGAAATATTAATATTGCTCAAGATTCTAACTAATTTTTCAATAGATAGAAAGAGAAAGGAAACTTACGGCCATGGATCGTCTCCAACAAGCATCTCATCTTCTTCATTGTCTTTGAAAGCTATTTCCCATTGGTTGCGGTTTTGCAACTGGCCTTTGAGATCAAAGAGTTTCTCCAATTCCAGTATTAGCTGATCATATCCATTAAGAACACTTAAATCAAGAGCTCTTCCTAGTGCTACACCATGCATTTGAACCTGTTCCATATCAAGATTGCATGAGTTGAGTAAAATGAGAAAAAAGATTCATATATAAAGAGTAGAATATATTGGTCTTATACTTACTTTGGTACATGTTCTGGTAGAACTCAGCTGCTTGCTTTGGATCTCTCTTGGTGATCTCATTTGGCCTAGACCAAACTTTTTCTCTTGGGAAAGTTTAGAAATCTCTGAGTTTGGATATGAGTCCATTTGTTCAATGGGATCTTTGATCACTGGTGGAGTGGCAAGAGAGACTCCAAACACTCTACAACTAGCGCCTCCATTGTTTGTTATATTTCCTTCTATAATTGGTGTAACCATTTGATCGTTATTGTAATTTAGTCGGGACATTGTTTGGACAGAGTAGCTCATTAGCAACCTAGAAGGAGTCGAATTATCTTCAATTGCATCACGATAACTAAGAGGAACATTCATCGGGGAGGTCATGCTTGGTTGTCCAATTTCTTGTCCTTGTGTCAATATAGGAGGCAAGAGGTGTGATGATGAAGAACCTATATATAATAGGTATAATGAAAAGGTATTCATAAACAATCTTTAATTCATTAAATAGAATATTAATTACTTAAATAAAGATTATAAGAGACTCTTTTTATACCGATTTCATTAAATTCTCGTGAACATTTGTTCTTAAGCATAGATAACCGGAGAACATTTGACGAAGGCGTTGAATATTCTATTTCCCATGGGGAAACTTTATCAGGTCTCGGAAACGATGCAAATTCATCCTACTGCACCTGCAAAATGAGAGTTACTTAGTGATATGTTATTTATTGCACTCAAAAATGTACTTTTAAAAGAATTTAATAAAGCGTGAAGGGAATTTTACTTTTAAGCTACGCCATTCTGAACATTTCCAATGAGGAGAGAAATCAATAACTCCAATAATTGTCCCGAAATATCTTAATTAGTACAACAAAATGTGTTATCATAGATAATATTAGACATTAGAGATATATTTAAGAAGAAAAATTTTTTTGATCTAATGTTACCTTCTTTCAGAGAAATCATCTTCCTCAAACCGCTTTGTAAATCTTGACCCGACATTGAACTTATTGTTCATGGCGTCTAAGAATTTATCGTAATTGACAATAAATTGACTTGACCTGATACTTATACAGACACAAAATATAAACCTATATGTTGATGAAACTAATCTATTGATAAATCAATAGAACCATAAATGTGAGTTCAAATGGTTCTTTGAATTACCTTGGCTTGTAAACCACAATGAACATACATTGGTTATCAAAAGCATGCTTTGCAGAAGCAATTACTCCATGTCTCATACTTTCTATTGATATTATTGATGAAGGTATGTTCCCTTGTTGATATCCCGCTCGTCTGATACCAACTCGTAACTCTCCAGTCTCTCCCCTGGAACCACAAATAAATAGTTTAAAGTCCAAAACTCAATAACCAAAAGATATATAAAAAAAACAATAGTATACCTAAGGAATACAATAACATCCCCTGCAACCAATTTTTTGGATGTTATGAATGCATTCCAACCTGTTGTTAACAAATGTCTTCGCGGTGTACCTGCATGGAATAAGAAGATTATTAGTTACTAGTCATAATATTCTTATATTTATATGAATAAAAGGATTTATACCTCTATAGCTGTGTTTGAATCTCCATTGATTACCATGGAGATCTATAGTAAGAAGTTCTTGTGCCGGTAAAGGCTGAGACATATCCTAAAGCAAAATTTAATGTGTAAATATCTAATGGAAGCTTAAAATTAGAATTTTTTTCATAAAAAAAAACTAAACATTAAATACCAGCGGAGGAAGACATTCAATGGCAAGTTTTCTCGGAACAGAGAATCCACCATGGGCACTTGTATCTGAGGCTGTTAAAACCTTTGTAAAGGAATTAACTAATGGCCTAAATTGATTTTCATTCTGAGTAGGGATTACAACTTGCTAAACATTAAAAAAATTAGAATATAAGTGAGATATAGTAGGAGAAAAAATAGAATAAACTAAAAAATAAAAGAGAAATTCTAAATTTTTTGTTCACAGTTGTATATGGCATCAAAGTGATCTCAGCATAAGTCTCATCACTATTTCTTTCCACCTAAAATCAAACATCAAACAGTTAACTAATTATTATTTTTTTTAAAGAAACAGATATACCAAAAAAAAAGACAATGTATCTCATGTGTATTCGCTAAAACATCAAAGAGATATACCTTAAGCTGAATAGTAATAACACGACATTGAAGCTTAGAAGGAAGATCAACAATTGGTTGTAACTCATTCAACTTTTCTCCTGTAGATGCCTCAACCTGAAAAAGCCGTCAAAATGTTTTATAACGAAAGAACAAAACATATGGGAGGGAGAGGGGGAGAGAGAGAGAGAGAGAGAGAGAGAGAGAGAGAGAAAGAGAGAGAGAGAGAGAGAGAGAGAGAGAGAGAGAGAGAGAGAGAGAGAGAGAGAGAGATAACTCACAAGCTCTATGTGGCCTTGAGGAAAGTAATAAACTTTTTCTCCAATTTTTGGAATATCACACAAAGGTCCAGCACACAGTTTCCATAACTGCTCGTACATATATCTCTTGGATCCATCAACTGCTGAACAAATACCAAAACATTATAACAAAAAAAAAAGGTTTTCAATAAAATAAAATAAAAAGTCAAAATTTCTTACTTATGCCTGATAATTCAGGTTGCGCATTCACAACATTGCCACTTTCCATCGGCTCTTATCCAAAGATCGGTATACCAAACTATGTTATCTCAACAATTATAAGACCACTTTCTCCCTTTCCTCAACTTCTCTCGCTAGCATGGGACCGCAAAATGGCATATTTATAGATGGGAACGTATCAAAATACATTAAAATCTTTTCTTAGATTTGAATACTAAATTTAATAAGGTTACCAAAATGTAATAAAGGTAATTTAGAGAAATGTCATTAATATTTTCATATTTTGACTACATATAAAAAATTAAATTTCTTATATGTTGATTGATTAAGTTACCAAAATCAACATATGCATTATCCATATATAAGTTGAACAATATAGAAAAATTTTAATACTTACAAACAAAACATTTTTTTTTCTTTGAAATTTGTTTACATAGCCATATAAAATGTAAATAGGAGTTCTTACTTGATACTGATTGCATGAATAGGAATTCTTTAGCGTCGTTATCAGACCTTTCATATGGGATTTATGATACATCTCGTGTTAGCTTTTTCTTTTTGCCTTCCCTTAAAATTTTATGCATCTTCCCCTTTCCATTTATCTAGGATGTGAATTTGCATGTGTCCCATGGCTAAAGGTAATGTCCTTGAATCGGGGCTTGATTACCGGTGGTGGTTGATTGGCCTTACAAATTGCTTATAGTATGATGGGTTCCATCAAGAGCGTACAAGAGCTTGTCGCTTCCTCTCAACCCGAACGTTATCCAAGCATTTTTCTATATTGGTGGCTTTTATTTTGTCCTTAAAAAATCAGATGAGAACTCTTTAGATTTTTTTTATCTCGCTCTTCATTTCATGACTTTACTCTTGACTGTATGTTATGTTAGGCAAAGCAACTTGGAATCAATCTTCCGTGTGGGAATCCTGCAATTGAGGAGAGAAACAATGTCGGGACATATAAAATATTTTATTGAAAATCTTTATCGGAGGATTCGTGCTTGTATGGAAGAGAATAAATCTATTTTTGCTAAGACTAGGAGGTTGTAGGAATGTAATCATGGTTAAGGCAAAATAAGATGACGCCACTCAGGACCGGCTTATACCTAAAGCCTAGCAAATTGATGTTTTAGGCAGCAATCCTATTTATTTTAAGAAGCAATCAAATTTGTAAAATTGTTTTGTAGTCTAGTGGTATTCGTTACCCTTACATATAGAAGATGGTTGCTTCGATCCTTGGTCACTTTATTGTATATGTCATGTGTAATGCCATTGGCAGTGTCGGGTTGGTATTTGATATGATATACACAACTCTTACCGATCTAAGCATTCTAACTCGCCTAGTTGTTCCTTTCCCAATGCATCATGCCCTTAGCTAGTTCGCTTTACTTTCGTCTTTTGTTTTGTTGTAATCATTAATATGAAATTTTTTTAATGTTTCACCAACGATAAATTTGGTGCCATGTAGTTAGAACACAATCATTGAGTTCTACTCTTCGTTTAAATATTGACGGTTACTTTTTCGTTGACGCTTATTTTTTTATTGTGTCTTTTTATCGCAATATTCCGTTAAAAAATTGACGGTTACTTTTTTCGTTTGTGTCTTTTTATCATAACTCTTCGTTAAAATATTGTCGGTTACTTTTTTTTGTTGACGGTTATTTTTCTGGTTGTGAATTTTTATCGCAACTCTCCGTTAAAATGTTGACGGTTACTTTTTTCGTTTGTGTCTTTTTATCGCAACTTTCCATTAAAATATTGACGGTTATTTTTTCTAAGTTGTGTCTTTTTATCGTATTTTTTTTATTAAAATAGTGACAATTACTTTTTGTGTTGACGGTAATTTTTTCAGTTCTGTCTTTTTATCGCAACTTTCCGTTAAAATATTGACAGTTACTTTTTTCGTTTGTGACATTTAATCGCAACTTTCCGTTAAAATATTGACGGTTAATTTTTCTAAGTTGTTTCTTTTTATCGTATTTTTTCATTAAAATAGTGACAATTACTTTGTTTTTGTTGACGGTAATTTTTTCAGTTGTTGTCTTTTTAGCGCAACTTTCCGTTAAAATATTGACGGTTACTTTTTTCGTTTGTGTCTTTTTATTGCAACGTTCCATTAAAATATTGACCGTTATTTTTTCTAAGTTGTGTCTTTTTATCGCATCTTTTCATTAAAATAGTGATGGTTATTTTTTTGTACAGTTCTGTTTGTTCAATTATAGTCGTATTTTTTCTGTATATGGTTGTTTTTTTATAGTTGGATCTATTCATTTAAATTCGTCTCTTCATTATATTTCATTGAATTTTTTCATCACAACTTTCTGTATGAATAGTTATCTGTTCATGACTTTTGAACTCTATATATTTGTCCTTCTTCCTAACTAGTTTCCAAATTTTTGTTCTATAACATAGATTATTTGTTTCATGATAAATTCAAAAAACATAATCTGTAAAATGGCTCCAAATTCTTTATTCTCTAAACTTTTTTTTTTTTTTTTTTGTGCAAAAGACTTTTCATTAAATTTAACGAGTACAGGTAAAAGAGTTTCTCAGGGCATGCTTTGCCAAAACATCAGCCTCCCGATTTTTCTCTCTAGGGATAAAATGAAAGCAAATTTCAACAAAAGAGGTAGAGATAGAAAGGATATCATGTAGAATCCCATGGAGCTCCTTCTGGTGAGTCTCCGATTTGATTGCTTCGATCAATTGTTTTGAGTCTGAAGCTACAGAAAGTTTTGTGAAGCCAAGGTTTTGCGCCTGTTTAAGTGCCTCGAGGAGAGCAAGTCCTTCCGCCAATAGAGGCGATCTGATGTGGTCAGCAGATTTAGAGTTAGAGCAAGACAGATCCAGGGATCGGTTTGAGAAGAACCATCCCAGACTAGCTTGCTTGGAAGATTCGTCCAAGGCTGCATCAGATTGGCATAAGATGACATCGGATCCAGGCAATTGGTGAATTGGAGGAGCTCGATTTGGGGTTTGTATCCCCGTGTCTCTTTGTGCTTCTTGCCATTCACGGGCTAACTCTAAACTATTTCTAAACATACATCATTTTAACATTAAATAAATTCTTCTCATTCTTGATCTAACCAAATTTTTTTGGAATGATTATAAAAATAGAGAAGTTTTAATCAACTTTACATATAAAATTCTAATGAACATACTAACAATGTTTTTCTTAGAATTGGATGGATTATTTAGTGATTTTTTTTATTTAACTATTTTATATGGTAACAATGATGCTTTCTATCTTAAGGCAATATATATGAGTTGTATACAATGAAATATTGATGTTGCGTTAACACTATTACAAAGTACGAATAAGAGAAGACATCCTCATGTGACGCTTGTGATTGGGCGTTTTAAATGTGGTACGCGTCAAATGAACCATTTCAAATGGTATACTAATCGAGAAATCATCTACATTATTTGAAAAAAAAACAATGATCCTAATTCGTGACATGAATATTTAGGAAAAAAAGTTTTTTTACTCAGTTATTTTATCAATAAAAATATAAATTTATGAGATCTTGTAAATTTTTATTTTTTTTGTTAAAGATGTAATTTACGTCATCAAATTTTATATTTTCTCGAATATATATGATAAAATAAATATTAATTTTATATTTAAAGAATAGTGGACAAACAAAAAACACCAATTATCCAGCGAAGTTCTTAGTCACCCATAAGTCATTCTGAGTACCGACTCCATCCAAATTTTTGGGTTTTGACTTGCTAGAATTTCTCATTTCTATATTATAACTCTTCATTATGTATTTTGTCACTTATAAATAATTTTACATTCATAAAAATGTTTCAAAAGTGTTTTTAATCATAATTATTCTCTTTTACATTTTTATTCATAAATTGTTAACTTCTTTGAAAAATATTTACGATATAACATTAAAACATAATTAATTTTATGTAATAATTCATATATTTGAATATATTATCATAAAAATTTAATACATAAACACAATCAAATATATTTGTTAAACATAAGTTCCCCCGCGACATCGCGGGGGTTCATAACCTAGTTTTATAAACAATAATGTTGCATTACTAAATAAATAATTTTACACATTTTAAACTAAAATATTCTGAAAAAACAAAATTTATGTTATAACTATAACATGCCTAAAATCTGCAACTGTCCAAATTATTTATCATTCACCAATACCAAATTATTAATTTATATAAAACACTTAAAATGATGTAAACAAAATATTATATCTTTTATTTACTTATCTTTCTATTCAAAATTTTTAACTAATCAAACAGAAAACTTTTGTGCACCAAAGTTTATTTTAAATTCAGAATATAATTTTGCAATAAATTTTCTAATATCTATAGTCTACATTATTATCTAATTCTTTTTTTTTTTTTGAATACTAGGAGGTTCTAGGCCAAAACCCGTAATCCCCCAGATCCGAAACCACATCATGTAATATTAGTTTTTAAAAAAATATCTATAATCTACACTATTATCTATTATCTAATTCACTACAAAACAAAAAACTATTTCTTAAATACTACTTAAAAAATAAATTGAATATAAATTTTATACAACAGATTTCTTAAAATATGAAACTCCGCACGTACGTGCGGGTCCGGATCTAGTATTAGTTAAAAATTGATTCCTCGATTGGTTACTCAATCTAGGTCAAAAATGTTTACAAAAGTAATATCCAAAAATCTGCTTACCAAAAAAAGTAGGGAGTCTCACAAAAATGCCTTTTTTTCAATACCCCTTTTCAAAAATACCCCTTTTGGATGTCCATTTTTAAAAATACCCCTTTTATGTACAAAATGACTAAATTACCCTTCTTTTAATAAAAGATATTATAAATATATAAGGAAATATAACAAAATTAGGTCCACAAAATACAAAATATTTTTTGGCGGGAAAAGTGATCCCCCAATTTTTCCCGCCAAAACACTTGTAAAAATTTGTAAAACCTTTAAAATACCTTGTAAAATTTTCCCGTAAAATTTTTTCCCGCCAAAAAATTTTCCCGCCAAAAATTTTTTTTTGCGGGAAAAGTAATTCCGCAATTTTTTTGGCGTTAAATTTTTGGCGGGAAAATTTTTCCCGCCAAAAATTTACAAGGTGTTTTAAAGGTTTTTTACAAGGTATTTATAAGGTTTTACAATGTATTTTAAAAGGTTTTACAACGTATTTACAAGGTATTTATAAGATATTATAAGATTTTACAAGCTTTTTTATAAGTTTTTTACAAGTTATAAGGTTTTACAAGTTTTTTATAAGGTTTTACAAGTTATAAATACCTTATAAAACCTTAAAAGTACTTTGTAAAACCTTTTAAAATACATTGTAAAACCTTACAAAACACTTGTAAATACCTTGTAAAAAACCTTTAAAATACCTTGTAAATTTTTCCCGCCAAAAATTTTCCCGCCAAAAAAATTTCGCAAAATAAATTGCGGAATCACTTTTCCCGCAAAAAAAATTTTTTTGCGGGAAAATTTTTTGGCGGGAAAAATTTTTACGGGAAAATTTTACAAGGTTTTTTAAAGGTTTTTACAAGTGTTTTGGCGGGAAAATTGCGGGATCACTTTTCCCGCCAAAAAATATTTTGTATTTTGTGGACCTAATTTTGTTTCAAATAAGGGTAAAATGGTCATTAAAAATTAAAAGAGGGCAAACTTAAAAATGGACTCTCAAAGGGGGCATTTTTGAAAAAGGGTATTGAAAAAGGGATATTTTTAACAATTTCTCAAAAAAGTAATATCCAAAAATCTGGTCAAACTAACATCTTCCTTGGATATTTTGAAGTATTTTTATATTTCGAATCAGCAAAAATGATTTTTTAAATAAGAATATATTGTTTTAAAAATTCAATATATTAGGCCAATAAGAATATTGTGTCTTATAATAAAAAATTGACGGTTACTTTTTTTGTTTGTGTATTTTTATCGTAACTCTTCGTTAAATATTGTCGGTTACTTTTTTTTGTTGACGGTTATTTTTCCGGTTGTGAATTTTTATCGCAACTCTCCGTTAAAGTATTGACGGTTACTTTTTTTGTTTGTGTCTTTTTATCGCAACTTTCCGTTAAAATATTGACGGTTATTTTTTCTAAGTTGTGTCTTTTTATCGTATTTTTTTTATTAAAATAGTGACAATTACTTTTTTTGTTGACGGTAATTTTTTCAGTTCTGTCTTTTTATCACAATTTTCCGTTAAAATATTGACAGTTACTTTTTTCGTTTGTGACATTTAATCGCAACTTTCCGTTAAAATATTGACGGTTACTTTTTCTAGGTTGTTTCTTTTTATCGTATTTTTTCATTAAAATAGTGACAATTACTTTTTTTTTTACGGTAATTTTTTCAGTTGTTGTCTTTTTAGCGCAACTTTCCGTTAAAATATTGACGGTTACTTTTTTCGTTTGTCTTTTTATTGCAACGTTCCGTTAAAATATTGACCGTTATTTTTTCTAAGTTGTGTCTTTTTATCGCATCTTTTCATTAAAATAGTGACGGTTATTTTTCTGTACAGTTCTGTTTGTTCAATTATAGTCGTATTTTTTCTGTATATGGTTGTTTTTTTATAGTTGGATCTATTCATTTAAATTCGTCTCTTCATTATATTTCATTGAATTTTTTCATCATAACTTTCTGTATGAATAGTTATCTGTTCATGACTTTTGAACTCTATATATTTGTCCTTCTTCCAAACTAGTTTCCAAATTTTTGTTCTATAATATAGATTATTTGTTTCATGATAAATCCAAAAAACATAATCTGTAAAATGGCTCCAAATTCTTTATTCTCTAAACTATTTTTTTTTTTTTTTTTTGTGCAAAGGACTTTTCATTAAACTTAACGAGTACAGGTAAAAAAGTTTCTCAGGGCATGCTTTGCCAAAACATCAGCCTCCCGATTTTTCTCTCTAGGGATAAAATGAAAGCAAATTTCAACAAAAGAGGTAGAGATAGAAAGAATATCATGTAGAATCCCATGGAGTTCCTTCTGGTGAGTCTCCGATTTGATTGCTTCAATCAATTGTTTTGAGTCTGAAGCTACAGAAAGTTTTGTGAAGCCAAGGTTTTGCGCCTGTTTAAGTGCCTCGAGGAGAGCAAGTCCTTCCGCCAATAGAGGTGATCTGATGTGGTCAGCAGATTTAGAGTTAGAGCAAGACAGATCCAGGGATCGGTTTGAGAAGATCCATCCCAGACCAGCTTGCTTGGAAGATTCGTCCCAGGCTGCATCAGATTGGCATAAGATGACATCGGATCCAGGCAATTGGTGAATTGGAGGAGCTCGATTTGGGGTTTGTATCCCCGTGTCTCTTTGTGCTTCTTGCCATTCACGGGCTAACTCTAAACTATTTCTAAACATACATCATTTTAACATTAAATAAATTCTTCTCATTCTTGATCTAACCAAATTTTTTTGGAATGATTATAAAAATAGAGAAGTTTTAATCAACTTTACATATAAAATTCTAATGAACATACTAACAATTTTTTTCTTAGAATTGGACGGATTATTTAGTGATTTTTTTTATTTAACTATTTTATATGGTAACAATGATGCTTTCTATCTTAAGGCAATATATATGAGTTGTATACAATAAAATATTGATGTTGCGTTAACACTATTACAAAGTACGAATAAGAGAAGATATCCTCATGTGACGCTTGTGATTGGGCGTTTTAAATGTGGTACGCGTCAAATGAACCATTTCAAATGGTATACTAATCGAGAAATCATCTACATTATTTGAAAAAAAAACAATGATTCTAATTCGTGACATGAATATTTAGGAAAAAAAGTTGTTTTACTCAGTTATTTTATCAATATAAATATAAATTTATGAGATCTTGTAAATTTTTATTTTTTTTGTTAAAGATGTAATTTACGTCATCAAATTTTATATTTTCTCGAATATATATGATAAAATAAATATTAATTTTATATTTAAAGAATAGTGGACAAACAAAAAACACCAATTATCCAGCGAAGTTCTTAGTCACCCATAAGTCATTCTAAGTACCGACTCCATCCAAATTTTTGGGTTTTGACCTGCTAGAATTTCCCATTTCTATATTATAACTCTTCATTATGTATTTTGTCACTTATAAATAATTTTACATTCATAAAAATGTTTCAAAAGTGTTTTTAATCATAATTATTCTCTTTTACATTTTTATTCATAAATTGTTTTAACTTCTTTGAAAAATATTTACAATATAACATTAAAACATAATTAATTTTATGTAATAATTCATATATTTCAATATATTATCATAAAAATTTAATACATAAACACAATCAAATATATTTGATAAAAATTAGTTCCCCCGCGACATCGCGGAGGTTCATAACCTAGTTTTATAAACAATAATGTTGCATTACTAAATAAATAATTTTACACATTTTAAACTAAAATATTCTGAAAAAACAAAATTTATGTTATAACTATAACATGCCTAAAATCTGCAACTGTCCAAATTATTTATCATTCACCAATACCAAATTATTAATTTATATAAAACACTTAAAATGATGTAAACAAAATATTATATCTTTTATTTACTTATCTTTCTATTCAAAATTTTTAACTAATCAAACAGAAAACTTTTGTGCACCAAAGTTTATTTTAAATTCAGAATATAATTTTGCAATAAATTTTCTAATATCTATAGTCTACATTATTATCTAATTCTTTTTTTTTTTTTGAATACTAGGAGGTTCTAGGCCAAAACCCGTAATCCCCTAGATCCGAAACCACATCATGTAATATTAGTTTTTTAAAAAATATCTATAATCTACACTATTATCTATTATATATTTCACTACAAAACAAAAAACTATTTCTTAAATACTACTTAAAAAATAAATTGAATATAAATTTTATACAACAGATTTCTTAAAATATGAAACTCCGCACGTACGTGCGGGTCCGGATCTAGTATTAGTTAAAAATTGATTCCTCGATTGGTTACTCAATCTAGGTCAAAAATGTTTACAAAAGTAATATCCAAAAATCTGCTTACCAAAAAAAAGTAATATCCAAAAATCTGGTCAAACTAACATCTTCCTTGGATATTTTGAAGTATTTTTATATTTCTACTCAGCAAAAATGATTTTTTAAATAAGAATATATTGTTTTAAAAATTCAATATATTAGGCCAATAAGAATATATTGTTTTAAAAATTCAATATATTAGGCCAATAAGAATATCGAGACGCTTGGCTGAAGTTATTCATCCTAGAATCATCCCAGGAAGAATATAAGTGACGTTAAACCAGTATATATGTAATATTATTATAAAACGTAAATAAAAATGATGGAGATAATATCTAATATCTTTAATAGAAGATATTTATAATGATTTAAAGAAATATTTATAAATCTTTATCAGAAGTGTGGAAAACATTAATATGTATAAATCTCCAAAAAATATAGTAAGATAATATTAAAAAGGAATCAGTTAATATCACGAGTTATACACAGACGTGTTCGTCGTTGCTTCAAACTCTTTGTTTGGTTCCTGAGGAAAACATAAAACACACACTTAGAATCTCTCACGCCTTGTTGTCTTTTCGATGTTTTCTCGTGTCTGGTTTTGGCTTTGTGGCCTTGGCAAAAAACAATTGAAATTCCAAAAGGGACCGGATAGGTTAAGTCAATTGCCTGATGCTTTGCTCTTAGAAATATTGTCGTTACTACCAACGGAAGATGTTGTGGCCACAATGATTCTATCTAAACGTTGGAGATTCCTTTGGATGATGGTGCCAAGACTTGTATACGATGATAGCTATAAGAAGATAGAAAGATTTTTGCGCTTTGTAGATAAGTCTTTGGTTTTGCACAAGGCTCCAATTCTCGAAACTTTGCATTTTAAACTTGGTAAAAGATGTCGTCATGAAGATATTCCAAAGTGTATTAGAGCTTCTGATAAAAGCTCTGTACGTGAAGTCATTATCGAGATCGATAGTTCTTCTAGACCATCTCCACTCATACTTCCAAAGAGTTTGTACACGGAGTGTAGAATGCTAGTGACATTGAAACTTAATAATGTGATTCTTGTGGATTTTTCTTCACATGTGTCTTTCCCTGCCCTAAAATCATTGGTTCTTGTATCCGTGAAGTACCCTGGTGACGAATTTCTGAGTAGTCTTTTATCCAGTTGTCATGTTCTTGAAGACTTGGTTTTGAAACAATGTCCAGATGACAATGTGATTACCTTCACCATTAGAGTTCCTTCTCTAAAGAGTTTAGTCTTGCATACATCACGACATATATATGAAGATGATGATGCTCATGGATGTGTGCTAGATGCTCCTTCTTTGGAACGCTTGGATATTCGTGATTATGATGGCGAATTTTGTATCATTGAGAATAATATGCTTAAGATAAAAGAGGCAGATATTGACGTCACTTACATTCTTCCTGGGATGATTCTAGGAAGAATAACTTCAGCCAAGCGTCTCGATTTATGTGTATTCTCTTCAAAGGTATACTTCTTTTGGTTAACGGCCAAGCTGTTGTTTTCTATCGCTACATATACCTACCTTATGCATTCTATCGCTATATATGGCTTAATTATTAATCTATATAACCAGCCTCGAATATATAAAAATTTTGTTTGTTGTCTCTCTTGTGCAGATTGAATATCCTGTCTTCTACTCTCTTATAACTTTAAACATATGCACATGTCACACAGAGTGGGTGGATCTACTAATGTCTATGCTAAGAGTTTCCCCTAATTTACGAGATCTCGAACTTAACCTGGTACATAGATATAAACATGAATTGTTCATTTTCCTTGACCAGTATATATTTTATCCTAATGTTATCTACTTATATCAGTGCCATGATCTGACTGACGGACCACTCGCGTGCTGGAGTGAACCGAGCTTAGTTCCAGAATGTCTATTATCGAGTCTTGAAAATCTTGAATGGGAACAATATGATGGAACTGAAGTTGAGAAAGAAGTAGCAGCGTTCATCTTAAGAAACGCAAACTGTTTAAAAAAGGCAACTATCTCCTCTAACTCCACTGACCCTAACAAGAAACTTGAGATGATCAAGGTGTTGTCATTTTCACCAAGGGGTTCACGTACTTGTCAGCTTCTATTTGATTGAAGTTGTGGTCTGTTACTAAAATATCGTTTGGTTGGTGTTTGATTTAATTTACAAAATAAGATACTAAGAGCAACCCCAATGAATGAGTCCTTAACAAGATCCTTAAACATATTTTAATCTTACTTTACAACAATTTTAAAGTTAAGAGTTTTTGATGAATCCTTAAAATTTTCTTTGTCCAATGGTGAGTCCTTAACTAGGTTTCTTAAAAAAAAAAAAATTATCACAATGGAAATTATAAACATTTTTATATGATAAAACTTAATAAATATTACAATTTCCTAAGAATTTTAAACATAGAAGGCATAAAAGCAAAAAAAAAAATACAAAAAAAAAACGGAATAACGAGTATTCGTTAGCTTAGTTATTGCCAAAATGTCGCCAAATATGCTCAACCAAATCAGCTTTCAGTTGTTCATGCTTAGTCCGATCACGTATTTCGGATCGAGTGGCCATCATATTACCGAGATTTGAAGGCATTTCTGTAGAGTAGGTGAAATCCACTTGTGAAGATGTGGTTGATTCCGGGTGTTCGAATTCGGTGACATCAAACTGAGTGTACCCATCTCGTTCATCCTCTACTATCATATTATGAAGAATTATACATGCTCGCATAATCTTTGCTATTTTTACCTTATCCCAAATAAGAGCCGGATTTTTGACAATGGCAAATCGAGCTTGCAAAACTCCAAAAGCACGTTCAACATCTTTGCGGCAAGCTTCTTGATTTGTAGCAAATAAAGAAGCTTTTTCACCTTGTGGAATAGAAATAGATTGGATAAATGTAGCCCATTTAGGATAAATGCCATCTGTGAGATAGTAAGCCAAACGATAGTCGTTCCCGTTGACTACGTATTTCACTTTCGGAGCTTTACCTTGTAATATATCATCAAAAACTGGTGATCGATCAAGAATATTGATATCGTTTAAGGTACCTGGAGGTCCAAAAAACGCGTGCCATATCCAAAGATCTTGGGAAGCAACAGCCTCTAAAACGATTGTTGGTTTGCCGGATCCACGCGTATATTGCCCTTTCCAAGATGTGGGGCAATTCTTCCACTCCCAATGCATACAATCTATGCTTCCTATCATCCCGGGAAATCCACGTGCCGCTCCAATATGGAGTAGTCGTATAAGATCTTCTCGTGTGGGTCTTCTTAAGTACTCATCTCCGAACAAATAGATGATTCCTTCAACAAAATGGTGTAAACATGACATCGAAGTACTTTCACCAATTCGGAGATATTCGTCAACCGCATCAGCCGCATGACCATATGCCAACATACGAATTGCTGCTGTAGCTTTCTGTAGTGCCGAGAAACCGAACCTTCCGGTAGCATCTCTTTTTTGTTCAAAGAATGGAACTTCATTGGAGAGTCGATCAACAATACGCATGAACAAGTGCTTGTTCATTCTGAAACGGCGTCGAAATATATGCGTAGGGAATGTTGCATCGTCAGAGAAATAGTCGTTCCATAACTGGATGTGACCTTGTTCACGCTCTCTTTCAATATATGCTCGTTTTTTTTTTTCTTGACTTGTTGACGATCACCATAATTCTCTAATGTTTCGTCGATAAATTGATCAAACTTATCGTTTATCATTTCGTTGAGATTATAATTTGAAGAAGATCCCATTTTGAGAAATGGTATATTTTTTTGGAGAAGAAAATGAATGTTTTATATAAGTGGTTTAGATTGTTTTGGAACAAAAAAGAAATGTTTTGGAGAAAAAATAGAATGTTTTGTATGTAGATTGAGAAGAAGAAGAATGCGTTGGAGAAGAAGTAGGAGAAGATTGTTTTGGAGAAGAAGTAGGAGAAGATTGTTTTGGAGAAGACGAAGAGAAGTGTTCGTTTTGTATATATAGAGAAACTAAAGAACATAACTTGAAGAATAAAAAAAAAAATACATTCAAACCAAATTACAAAAGAGAGTCACGAGTGTATTAAGAGATGTCGACATAAAAACACAAAAGAGAGCACGACTGTATTAAGAGATGTCGACACACAAATACAAAAGACACAAGTGAAGTCGGCACTAAAGCACAAAAGCATTGGTGTCACATGTGTCTCTTACACAAGTGATGTCGGCTCACCTGCATCATACACAAACCAGAAACATAAAACAGAAGCACAAAACATTCAGAAACTTTAAGAAAACCATTAAAAGAACATACTTACACTTAAAACAGAACCACAAACTTCACTCATTAATCTTAAAACAGTTATGAGCTTGTTCTTCCACGTCCTGCAAGTTAACATTCAAGTTAGTTATCATTCAGTTTAAGTCACGAGTGTATTAAGAGATGTCGACATAAAAACACAAAAGAGAGCACGACTGTATTAAGAGATGTCGACACACAAATACAAAAGACACAAGTGAAGTCGGCACTAAAGCACAAAAGCATTGGTGTCACATGTGTCTCTTACACAAGTGATGTCGGCTCACCTGCATCATACACAAACCAGAAACATAAAACAGAAGCACAAAACATTCAGAAACTTTAAGAAAACATTAAAAGAACATACTTACACTTAAAACAGAACCACAAACTTCACTCATTAATCTTAAAACAGTTATGAGCTTGTTCTTCCACGTCCTGCAAGTTAACATTCAAGTTAGTTATCATTCAGTTTAAGTTAACATTCAGTTTAAGTTAACATTCATGTTAGTTTAGTTTCAGTTGAAGACAAGCATACTTAGCTTAAACAGAAATCATTTCATTAATAGCAAAACACATTCAGACATACTTCAAACAGAAACTAAAGACATAGTTAAACTTAAAACAGAAAATAAAACATACTTAGCTTAACCAGAAAATAAAAACAAACTTAAGCTTAGGACAACATATCCATTATGAGCTTGTTCTTAAGAGTCATCTCTATGTCAGTTAGAGGCTCTGTTTTTAGCATCAAAGTGTCAAGCAGTTTAGTCCTACTAAGCTTCTCCTTCTCTTTGATTAGCTTCTCTTTGAAAACTAAATCTTTCTCCTTAATCTCCCAGATACAATGTAGCTCCTTCAGACTCTTGTCTTCTTCTCCAATCACAGTGGTTGTCTTTCCTTTGGCTTTGGCTTTGGCTGCCTTAACACCAGTGGGACGAGGCTCCTCCTCTTCAGTGTTGACTGGCATAGAGGATGAGGCCTGTGCAGAGCCGACCTCAGCCCTTTTTCTCTTTGCTGACCCACTGTCTTTACTTGTTGACGATCCGCACCACTTCTGATCATGGCGAAGCTCCCTCCAAGCATGCTCAAGGGTGAACTTGGCCTTGTGATCATTGTAGAAAATCTGGTGAGCCAAGGTCACCACATCATTCTCATTTTGGCCACTGGTTTTCTGTTTGGTTGCAGCCTCATAGCTTCCTACAAACTTGCAGACCCCCTCATTTATCTTTGCCCACCTCTGTTTACAGCATAATGGAGCTCTCTTTTGCAGACCTTTCAGCTTGGGACTTGCTGCAACGTACTCGGCTATGCGTTGCCAGAAAGTTGTGGCTTTTTGCTCATTGGAGACAACAGGATCCTTGGAGGTGTTGAGCCAGGCACTAATGAGAATCACATCATCTGTTGGTGACCATTTGCGTCTTGTTTTGCGGTCTGCAACAGGCACTTCAGCTTGGCTGGGATCAATCCAAGGTGCACTAAAGCTAAAGCCATCATATTGATTTGGTGGAAACATGGGATTATCTTCTTGACTGCTTAAGAGGTTTACAAAGCTTGAAGGATTGGTATATGGATTCCTTGAATCCATATCAAACAATGAAGGTTCTGGTTTGTGTTTTTAATAAGACAAGTGAGGGAAAGAGATTAAGTTTTTTTTTGGTTTGTGTTTAAGATTCTCTATTTTTTGAAGACAAGTGAGGGAAATAAATAGCTTCAGTAGTTAGTGTAAAAAAGAGCTTCAGTGTTTAAAACGACTGAAGTTATGGTTGGATGTTAGGTTGAAGCATTGATCACAAAGAGCAATCAATAACATTATTAACTTTTATCTAGCCTAATCTAATCACAGAGAGCAATCAATCAAATATATGCAATCAAAGAGAAGCAATCAAAGAGAAGCAATCAATGACATACTAGCTCTACATTAATTATGAAAACACCACCAATCAACTCCAAGTTTCTTCAAGAAAGCAATCAAAGAGAAGCAATCAATGACATACTAGCTCTACATTAATTATGAAAACACCACCAATCAACTCCAAGTTTCTTCAAGAACTCAAAATTAGCTCTCACTACATTAATCACACAGCAGAAAATAAACAAGTCATAATCGTTTTGTATCAAAGATGCATTAATCACACAGCAGAAAATAAAAAAACTGATGTATCTAAATGCATTAATCTCAAAGCATCTCAGGAAGTAAAAGAAAAAGAGGAAGAACTCACTTGCACAATTTTGGAGGACAAAGTGCTTTCTTTATCTTTACATTAGGTCAGTCTTTACATCACTTGCACAATTGAAAACCTGTTTCTCGCCTAGCTTGATGACACTGCTCTCAATCATTTCTCTGTACAAGTCATTGCCTTCACGGGTCCGTTCTGCCACGCCAGCAAACACAGAGAAACCACCTATTCATCACAAGACTGATTCTCTGTTGAACAAAAACATGTCCGGGAGTAAACAAACAATCTATGGCACCAATCGTCTTAGAACATGACTAATAACAGTTTAATAGACTGATTATCTATTCAATAACCCAAAATTGCGTTTACAAATCAAAAACCCTAATTTCTAGAAAATCAAATCTCAATCCACAAACCCTAATTTTGATTACAGCTAATAACCGTAATCAAAAGTCACCGTAACAACTAAACAGAGAGATTCGTACCGTGATAAGGCGATTGGAGCATGGAATCGACTAACTCTCCGATTTTATTAGCTTTGAGCATTGATTAGGTGGGTTTCTGAAGCTCGACACCGATCTCTCCCGAGAGCAATCAACTTTGGTTCGCCTTTAGCTTCCAATTTGATGATGTATACGCCGGTTTCTGAAGCTCAACGCCGATCGCTCAGAAAATCGTCGACGGAGAGAACAAGGTGAGAGTGAGAGAGAGAGATGCGAGAAAATGAATCGGGTGTGGTTTTTTTTTTTTTTGTTTTCTCTGATTACGAACCAATAGAACGATGCCACGTCAGCGCACCTTAAGAGGCCAAACAACTCTAAAGAAAGAAACGTTGCTTGGGTTTAAGAACTGTTTTGAATTAAATTTGGGCTTAAAATTTTTAAGAAATTAGGCTAAGAACCCATTAAGGTGTGCCATTGCTGTTGCTCTAAGACGTTTTTATGTTTATCATTTCATAGTGTTTCTTTAAATTTAGCATTTTTGATAGTTTTTCTTTAAATATTTTTGTTCCAAGTCTCTTGTGTACAAATAGAAATAAGGAATATGTTGCAATATAGTACGTTTCCCAAACTTAATTGTGAAACTAGTACCGTTACTATTTATAATTTGGTGAAAAAGAGAGTGTGAGAGAGAGAGAGTGTGAGACGTGTGAGAGAGAGTGTGAGTGTGAGAGAGAGAGTGTGGGTCAGAGTTTTTTTTTTTAATTTTTTTTTTCTTGGAAAGAAAAAGTATGCGAGTGTGAGAGAGTGTGGGTCAGGGTTTTTTTTAATTAAATTTCTTTTTCTTTCTTTATTATACTTCATTCCCTCAAAGTTTAATAATTAAAATACTCGTTCGTAAATTTTATTTTTCAAAAATTGATCATATACATAAAAATCTATGTTTTTTTCTCTATCATTTGATATGCATTTTGTTTTATAATTTTTAAAATTTATATTACCGAACACTGTACAAATCTATTTATATACAGATACAAACCATTGTACAGATATAGATCACTGTACAGATATAGACTACTGTACAGATATATACCACTGTATAGAATACCACTGTACATATACATATATAGACCACTGTACAGATATAGACCACTGTACAGATATAAACCAGTGCTCGTTAATGTTTGTAATGTAATAATATTTACTATTCAAAATTGGAGAATTGGTCTATATCTGTACAGTGGTCTATATCTGTATCTGTACAGTGGTATTCTGTACAGTGGTCTATATCTGTACAGTGGTCTATATATGTATCTGTACAGTGGTATTCTGTACAGTGGTCTTCTGTACAATGGTTTATATCTGTACAGTCATTATTCTGTACAGTACAAACTGACTAATTCTCCAATTTTGAATAGTAAATATTACTACATTACAAACATTAACGAGCATTGATTTATATCTGTACAATGGTCTATATTTGTACAGTGGTCTATATATGTATTTGTACAGTGGTATTCTGTACAGTGGTATATATCTGTACAGTGGTCTATATCTGTACAATGGTTTGTATCTGTATATAAATAGATTTGTACAGTGTTCGGTAATATAAATTTTAAAAATTATAAAACAAAATGCATATCAAATGATAGAGAAAAAAACATAGATTTTTATGTATATGATCAATTTTTGAAAAATAAAATTTACGAACGAGCATTTTAATTATTAAACTTTGAGGGAATGAAGTATAATAAAGAAAGAAAAAAAAAATTTAATTTTAAAAAAAACCTGACCCACACTCTCTCACACTCGCATACTTTTTCTTTTCAAAAAAAAAAATTAAAAAAAAAACCATGACCCACACTCTCTCTCTCACACTCACACTCTCTCTCACACGTCTCACACTCTCTCTCTCACACTCTCTCTTTCACCAAATTATAAATAGTAATGGTACTAGTTTCACAATTAAGTTTGGGAAACGTACTAGTTTCCCAATACACCCTAGAAATAAAGAAGGGATTATTTGTTTCCTTGATTTATCTTGGCTGACCATTTCTGTAACGATTTTCTCTTTCGATTAGGTGATGAGCTTTTGTGGTTGAACTTTTTTTTTATGTCTATTCTTTTCACACGGACAAGGTTACATCATGAACCACTTACCAAAACTGTCGTACTCACAAATCAAAATTCGAAGAGAAGAGAAGAAGATTTTCTGGATCCGGCGAAGAAGAGAGAAGACAAGAAATTAGATTTTTATTCTTTATGAAAGAAAAAAAATATATATAGTTTTGCGTATGTTTTATGTTTCATTAGATCTGAGACATGATGATTCAATGAATTTTTTCATTAAATATTAGCAGAATAAGTGATTTTAGCTTTCCGCTTAGTGATTTTTAATTTTAGCGTTGTTTCAGTTCTAAATATAGTTTTACCCTTTTTTTTTGTGCAACTACTGATTTTCATTCCCTTAG